CTATCTTTTTTCATGTCTTTCTACGTGTGTTAAAAGAATCAACATTTTACTATGTCGGTCCATATGTCCTCTGGAGAAGCCCTCCCAGTTGCTCAACAGAAATAACATCAATGTCAGGGAAAAAATAAATCTTTTGCTTTAAAGTCAGACCATTGGTGTCTATTTCTGAAATGAGTGAGAAGAAATCTTTTATAGCAGCTTGTATTTCAAGAATCTGGGGCTTAAATACACTTACTTATCACACATAGGAAACCTGATGAAGCTACCGGCTTTTTAGTGCAACCTAGAATATTTCAGTATTGCCATTTGCTTTTTTAAAATCAGATCTGCTGCCCAAATAACTGCAAAAATGGACATGCTCTGTCACTCACCTCTGCCTGTAGCAACTTTACTATCTGGCATTAGCAAGCACTTATCTAAAATGTAAGTCTAAATATGAACCCACTCCTTTTAAACTGTGTTTCACCTGAATACAGAAGATCAATTTACAGTCATGTGAGACATCAAACATACCAATTTACTATCACTGATTTAAGCCCACACAGCAGTCAGAGGTATTCTGCTGCTTTAAAAGATGAAGCATCAACTGAAACAGAAATGGAGCTAATCCCAGATTTCTGCATCCCTACAAAAAACAAGGAGAATTCAGCACAGAAATAACGTGCCATCGTAATCCAGGCCGTAATCCCATTTAACCAGAGCGAAATGGACTATACTCATCCTCAAACTGGCTCCAACTCCTGAGCAGGGCAGGGGGACTACAGTCATGAAGGACTAGTCAAGTGGAAATTCAGACCCTGAAGGCATATGAAAGGACCATCACTGCTATATTCACAGTACAGGCTGCAGTCTTCACTCTCTATTTAAACTAGCACATGGTCAAGAACACACAAAAGTTTCAACAGACAAAAATTGAGACGCTGACTTTTTCTGTGTGATATAAAGCCTTATGCAATGCCCAACTCTAGCAGTCTGGGCAGGGCAAACAGGATGTGTTCACCACCTCTCTGTGTCTCCCTGTTTGAACTGCTCCAGCATTAAGTGAAGAGTTTCTTAGGACACACTATAAACAAAGATTTAACATTCTTTCCCCATCCTCTTTAAAACAAGGCAACAAATCTAATCCAAAGAAGAAGACTTATTCATAGAACAAGGAAAAGGACAAAGCAGATGCTCTATAGATACATACACATATATGAGACCCCCCAAACAACTGATGCAAATATTGTCATTTCTAAAAATTACGCAAAGAAAAAGATACAAAACTCCCAACAACCAAGATGGCTCAGTATTGCAAACAGTGCTATTCATATTGCTCATATGCAAGGACTTTAGTCCAATATAACTCCAGTTTCCAGGGCTTATTTATAACATGCAAAAAAGAGAAACAAAAACCTGTAAAACCACCCCAACAACTCCAACTTTTTTCCTCCCTCCTTTTCAAATTTAGATTTGATTCCTCTTTCAGAAAGTCTAAGGTAAAAAAGCAAATTAGCATAGAAAGTAGGGCAACCATTTTTTGTGGGAGAAAAAAAGATCATTATTCAGTGTATGGACCATCTTCTGCTCTGTGTAAAACTCAGCATTTGATATAGCAGTGCTCCAGTTTGGGCTGATCATCAGGTAAAACTGTAACATAATAAAAAAATTACCCATATTAAAGATCATTCACGTTTCAGTAACAAAAGAAGAATGGATTTCCCTTAAGTTCTTCACCAGCCATTTGGCAAGGCTAGCTATAAATCATTGCTAAGGAGGCTTTTGTTTAAAACAAGAGTAAGTGCTTCCTGCTACTGAAGGTCTCAGAGCTTCAAGAATTGTGGAGAAATGCTTTGATTTCTCTTTGCCCCTCATTTCTCCACTTGTTACCCACAGCAAAAGCTGTGCTTCCTGCAGAGTCATTTCCCCCTGTCACGGCAGGGAGAGGTAGAACAGCATACCCAAGGATTATGCCGCTGCCCATTTCGAAACTTTAAGGACTGAGGAAGCAGAATATGTAAGAGATCAGAGATAATCTAGCAGCACTGTTTCCCAAGTGCCAGGAAAGCAGATGAAGGGCTTAGAATAACACAGCTAAGGCATGGCCACAAAGGAAGCAGTGGATTTTATGTAGGAAGAAACAAATAAAAAGGACAGGTGAACACCCCATGTCTCGTTTGCGACACAAGCAGCACAGGAGCAACAGGTAACTACATGAGCTTTGTGGCCTTGTTCCATTTAAAGCTTGCTTAGGTGGAAAAGCTACCAAGCGGAGAGAGTCATTAAACAGGTCACAGTAGAGCAGCTGAAGTGAGAATTGAAAAAAGGGACTTAAATTTCATCAGAAAGTCCACAAAAGCTTCAGTGAGGGCAGAGATAACAAAACATAGCTCTGGAGTAATGCAGAGATGAGAAAAACAGCTATGCAAGCACCAGTGATGTCCTGTAGGCTAGGAACAGAAGGGGAGAACAGTGAGCTGGGATCTTCTGCTTGGGTTCACTGGAGATAACAAAACTTCACTACACAAAAGAAAGGCCAAGGAGATCATGAACTCTCACACTTCAAATTCTGCCAAAAGTACAACTGAAATGGTTCCAGCAGCTTCTGCCATTTGTTGCCTTTACAGCCTGATTCAAAAGCAACTTAAAGGAATAAACTAACCTTCAAGGTGCCTAGAGGGCAGACTTTGGCAAGTCCTATTATACAAAACCCCTGCATAGAAGGATCAAACTCAGCTGCTTTCTTTGCACTTAACATAAAGTTATGATCACTTCCCTGCACAAATCTTTCCTACCCTGGATATTTACATTTTAGTTGTAACTTGATAATATATCCAAAACGTATATATCTTGTAATTATCAAGACAGCATCACAACAAACACTGCCAAGACTTCTTTAGCTCTTCCCAGCAGCTTTCCAGCAAACTGTCTAGCTACCTTGCGAGACTGGGCTTTTTGTTCTTTGTTGAGCTGACTCTCTTTTTCACTCAGTGCATTCCATCCACAGACAGAGGAACACAGTAGGCAGCACAAGAATTAGATAGATCAGAGGGAGTTCTCTTTGGTGGTCAGCACTTGCACAAAGAGTATGGACAAGTAGGGTGGAGTGGCTGTCTTCAGGGCTGTGCCGACTCGGGGGCTGTCATCGTGTTCTTTAGATATTAAGCATCATCTTGAAAGTTCTTTTCGAAATATTAACTGTTAATAACTGTGCCCACAACACATTCATAAGGAAATTATGTAAACTCAATTGAAGATAATTGAGTTTTATTACAATATTCATTCTGGTTTGACATAATACAGAATTCGTACTCTAAATGCATACATACTTAAAAGGCAAACGTGAAGGCAAACAAAATTCTGACACACAGTCTTAGAAAACAATAATTAAGGTACAAATCAGTGGAAAAATTAAGACTGTTTTATTTGGACTTGTTTGGATTTGGGAGGGGAAAGAAAGACTGCCATGTACCAGAACTTTGCTAGTGAGTGATCTTAAAACCAACCTTAACATTATTTAAATTAGCTTGCATTTATAATGCTGTAACATGTGAAATATTTTATATCAGGAACATAAATTAAAATTATAGTCACTCAGGGAGACGGTCGTCCATGAGTGACGTTGTTCTACAAGCTTCTCTCACATTATGGTTTTCTAAGTTGCATGCCAAAAGAAGTGTAAAAAAAATGCACTAACAAATCTTACTTTTCATTTTATTAAGAAACCTAGCATTTTTAAAAGGCAGAAGTAACACCAAATCTATTTAATTAGTAGGAATGAAAACACTGTGTATCAGTGAATGCTATAGACTGGCAAATAGAAGAACCACCCAAAGTACGCTGTGATTTTTCAATGACCTTACTACAGCACCCTGTTTCTTTGACAGTGGTCATTTTAATGTAAATTCTACAAGGAAATGAGTGGTAGTGTCAAGTACCTGAAAGTAAGCTAGTACATGAACAGTTTTTGAAAACATCCTTACTCTCTCATTCTGAAAACAATACACGGAAGAGACCAGGCTCCCTTGTTACTAAGAGCGGCTGCCAGCCTCACTGTAAGATGCACTTTAAAAGGACACTGCCTTGCAAATCCAAAATAAACTGGGGGGGAGGAAAGAAAAGAGATATTAAGATAATTAATTACCGCAGTTCAAGACCACAATCCCTAACGTAGAAATCTCTTGTGAGGAGCACAGCAAAGTCTCAAGACTCAATGGAATTTTTTTTGAGGATAATAAGAGACACCAGTCTAGGCTACATTAAAATTACGGCACCAGAGTGAATAAAACAGCATTAAAGGCACTACAGAAAAAGTGTTTTACCCATTCTGCATATGTCAACACTAGGTTAGAATATGTTGACTTTTTTCACATAACTAAATGTAAGAACAGGGCATATATATATATATATATATATGGGCTTTTAGTGGCACAAAATGAAAATCAGCCCAATATCTGGAAGCATCATTTAAAGTATTGAAGAAACTGTTTATGTTCAGGTGCTGCACAGATCACAGCATGCATATAGTCCCAGACTGAATGCTCAAGGTAAACCCCTATGATTCTAAATGTAAACAATTATTCTGCTCTTTCTAATGCCACCGTTTTTTATTCTAGTAACACAGAAAATCAGAAGTTAGCATATTTAGTTTTAAGCAAGAACTAGAGAACTGCAGTGCTCCCCAAAGAACAGAGAGCTGCTTAAAAACCAGTTGTTTTCCTTGCCCTACCATCTAGTAGTACTGTTTCTTCAAGAGAGGTCTTATGCCCTTAACATGGCTGCCATGCCTTACATAACATCAATGAATGAGAATATATTTACTTTGTTTCCTAGTATGTGCACTGCCCATTTAGCCATATGATTCTCCATATGGTGCTGCAAACAGTTGAGACAAAGCTTTACAGTAATGCAGCTCCAAAGATCAGCGTCCTCCGAGAATAAGCAGCAGCAGAGAGACTCAGCCTTCACTAGCTCTAAATTCCCTTTCATATCTTTCTCTAGTAAATAACAGGCATTCTTACCTTAAGAAAACAATAATAATAATAACGGTGCTCAGTAGAGCCTCCTCTGTTTCATCTGTGCTTGTAAAAAAAGATCTTGGCGCAAGTGTCTACTGCAGCAGGCAATCAATAATATAACCTGCTTCTTCTGCTGCCAGAGCTGCTCCATCTGAACGCTAGCTAACGTGAACACTGTCAGTGTGAGTCATACCAGTGACTCAGAGCAGATGCAGAGCTGCGGGAGGAGTTTAAGTTTCAGGGCTTCCTCTCGCTCGTTCACGCTCGCTGTCGCACAAACACACATGCATGTGCTCACCACCCGTGTGCCTCTGTATGCATGCAGACTGCCCCAGCTTCTTCTTTCAGCAGCAGATTTGATTTCATCCTCTGCATAATCGTGTTTGTTTGTTTGTTTTCCCAAGACACCAATTCTGTTTCTTTTTTTCACTCTGTATTTTTTGAATGCAAAAGCTTGCTCTGCAAGCCAGGACAACACCGTGTGACATGCCAGGTGATGTGCTACTACAAGATATCTGTGGGCTCACACCTCTCATCAAGACTAGGGGAAGCACTCAAACACCCCAGGAAAGATGCTAAACCTAAAGTACTGTTAGGGCAATATCCACTTATTCATGACAAGTTAATAGCAAAGTGTCTCTGACTTCATCAGGTACTCTGGAGAGGACAAATCCATCTCAAATGCAGTGAGATAAAAGAACTGGAGGAAGGAGTATGGGATGCACATGAGCATAACTTCTGTGTGCCTGACACCAGTTTAGCAGGGCAAAATGCCTCTAGGAAAAGAGCATAGCTGCATTACAGACAGGAGCAGCACATTTGGGTTTAGGGTTAAATTCTGGCAGTCTCCCTGCTAGCAGTCGATGATTGCCACAGTCAAAGAAGCTACCTGATCACCTATTAACTTCCCAGGCCTGCCAGACTCCCCACAAAACACAACTGAGAATAGGCATCATGAAGCTGAAGTTAGGCACTTAATGCTAGACAGTATTGATACACAGTGCTCTATTGACTACACTTTATTTCTGAAAAGCACATTATACTAAGCAGTTGCAGTGTTGAGCAAATCCAGCTTTCAAGAAGCAGATGAAGCCCTGTACTACTGATCCACCAGGTCAGCCACATGGAAACAAATTCTGGTGGGATGAGTAAGTTTCTGGCCCAAGGAACAATGCCATTAAAATGCACAAACCTGCTTGACAGCCATTCATATAAACATTCCAAATAGTTTTGGGAAAAGGCACTTGGTTTATGTCAAAGCATTTACAGCAGAACATCTTTCCTCATATTTAGCACATGTCCAGCTGGCTATCACCCAGATAAACAGATTTGTCTTGAGATTTCTCATGGGAAAGCTAATATCAAAGCATTACTTTCATGATTCTGTAGTTTTTGTCTTTTTAAAGAACCCCTTCTTTTGCAAAGCCCAATCAAATGAAACCCATCCAATCCAAGTACGTGCACAGCACTGTTCAGTACTGTATCTGGTTGTTATTAAAACTGCTGAATGAACTTCATACTATTGATGGTGAATGTTTATTCCATGTATCCCAAAGCAGCCAAGAATATTGACTTGGCAGGGATCAAGAAACGAGAAGGAATCAAGCTGAGCAAAACAATCCTAGAAGTATGGTCTTGGAAATAACATCAACAAGGGAGACAAATATATCTATGAAGATACACTGAACTCTTTCCCTTAAAACCATGAGTATTCTATCACTTGGAAAATCTGCTGAATTCCATCCTTTCCTGAAGTTTACTAATGACAGTGAATCTTTGCTACTGTCAAGTTTTCAGTGCTTTATTCTCATGTCTTAAGTAGTTGAATTGGCAAAAGAATGCTGAAATCCACAGCATGCCTGGAAAAAAAAAAAAAAAAAGAAAGCAAAGAAACAACAAACAACCAAACAAAAAACCAAATCCAAAAACCAGCAGCAACAACAAAAAAGCAAACCAAGACCCCTGAGATTTTAAGCTGGCAAACTAACATCAGGGCTGTGGTCTTGCAGTATAGGCTATTATACATTCTTTAGGGCTAGAGATAATAGGTTTTTTTCCTTTTTCTCTTTTACAAAAAAGCAAGCAAAGGCTTTTCTACAGTACCTATTCAAAATGGTACCCCAGAACATGTTAGGCTAATGAATCCTGTTCCTTATCATCATCTCCTTGTCTCTGGAAATTTGTTTTTAAAGTCATCATATGCCAACATTGGTAGAAATTGCCTCTTCTAGTTTGTCAGATTCCATATTACCCTGCTTTCTCACAAAAGTTCAGGCTGCAGTCGGATTGCCCTTAACTGAGAACACCAACCTCTGCTTCTGTTCTTGAGCCTATTTTCTTCTTAGCTGCACTCTCCCAAGAGGGTGGAGGGGGGAATAAAAGTAAGAAAATAAAAAAGGCAGTTTCTTTCAGGGTGGAGCTGGATCCCAATGCAGTGGAGTAACAGAAGAAAATTGAGGATGATTGCCAGTATCCACAGCAATACCTCCCCTACTCCTTCCCCCCTCACGCTCCTAGCATTCCAGTTATCTTCCCATCAGCCCCATACTCTGCTCAATCCTAATGTTTTATAGCCTTGTTTTTCAAAGTCCTGTGGAAATGTGTAAGTTCAGAGATAATAATTTCTGAGGTGCAGTGACACACATTTTCAAGGCAAAAAAGCAAAGCTCACTTTCTGAAGAGGTTCACACTCTTTTATCATGGTTATTGGCATTACAGTACTTTCCAGAGGTTCTCACCAGTGAGCAGCCACACATGCAGAAGGAGCACATATTTCGAAAAGACATATAAGCAAAAAGTTGAGAAGAAAAACATTTTTTGCATCATCTTACAAAGCACAGCTAACAGACTTGGCTAAGATTGTTCCACATGTTCACCTCAAAACCAAATGCAGACACTAGATTTCAGTGTCTTGCTCACTAGATCGTCAGACTTCCCTTCAGGTGTGTTGTAGTAGTATGTTCATTTCTTCCAGCTAATTACCCTTTGTGGGTATTTTGATACGCTATGACAAAAGCCCTGTTTGCTGCTGGGAAGACACCAAAATCTCAGTAGCATCTTGCACCCATCTCTACAAAGGCACTTAGCAAAGCCACCCATACGAGGCTGTGGGAAACCATTTCCTCCACACCACACAAGTACATCACCGAAATCACCTCCTCAAGTTACTGCTATAGCTATGACCCAAGTAATAATGTATTTTTTTATGTCTTGTAACAATCCAAAGGCACATATTCTGCACTAGGAAGAGACTACAAAGTGACAAGCTGCCTGTAACATACTGCATGCACACATTTCAGAGGGAAGTACTTCTGCACACCCAGTGAAAATACACAAGATGATCTAAATGGCCATTTCCCCTTTATGGTCTGTTCTCAGCAAATGAAACAAGAGACACTGAGAGACTAAGATCAGAGAAATCGGGCAAAACAAGAAAAATATATCTCATCGCAACTAAGACGTACTGACCAGATGACAGACTAGTTTACAGGCACTGCTGTGGCTCCTGTGTGTACAGACACCAATACATTTGCTGCATGCAAAGGTTTGCCTGGATGAGGACCCCCCAGATTGCACTTGATGTCAGTGTAGTGTCAGCTGGTCTTTCGGCAGCTGGCCTGCTCTTATCTATCCACTTCTGTTCTCTTTCTCTTTAATGCTAACATCTGCCCATGTTTTGTGTTGACAGAAAGGTCAGTGAGACCCTAATGATACGTTAAACCTGATAATCAAGTGATGCATCATTTGCAATTACCCTATGCTCAATCTTATTCCCCTTGTATTCAGAGCTCTGCTTTTTTTCTAAAAAACTATAGTGCAAGTGCAGAAATATCTGTAACCTCAAATCTAAAACACGTTATAGAGATCACACAGGATAACAGAGAAAGGATGTCAGAAAACACGTAGTCTCTCCAGGCTTCCAAGAATATTAACATCTGTTCTGTCACTATAGACACAAATTTCTGATTCCAAACTATTTTTCTCTACAATGCACAACTACCTCTTTGTTCAAACCAGCGTGCCCCATTTTCTTTACTCCTACAACAATTTCAATTGAACACTGAGCTGTGAATCCTAACAAAAGAGAGACCCAAACCTAGGTGTAAACTCATTTTGAGGCATGTTACTGCATGACTTAAACATTATGGACCCTTGCATTCTCTAACAAAATGCTATACTCTGGTGGGAATATGTCTAGATCCACTCATTTTGCTCATTCAATACACTCTGAACATTTTCTGAGTGAAGCTTTTCCTGTTGCCTTCACAATGCAGGACTTGCAGAACTCATGCTGGTCTTTGTGACCTATGACTGGTATGTTTGTTAAATGCCTCAGAAAGAACAACTGTCAACGCTGGAGAAAGTCAATGCAAAGAGTTATTGTTTTCTCGGTACCATCTGCTGCATTGGGTAAACTAAATCAAAAACCAGTAAAACTGAATGTAATGGTGGACAATCTTTATGACTGTTCTGCAATGTTTCTTATAAAATTTATTTTCCTTATCTGCATGAAGAAAAAAAATCTAATTAAAAAAAAAAAAGCTCATGGTTAAATTATTTTTCTTCTTTCTATCTCAAAATTCTTTATTTCTTCTTTCTAAATAAATTATGTAACAATACAATTAAAAAAAAAATAAATCATCTGCAAGCTCACAGATTTTAAGCCACTACATGTGAATCCAACTTTCATTACTGGTGCACTGTAAATTATTTCCCAGATTAACTCTACCAAATATCAACAGGACCATTCAAAGATTAAGGTAACGTACATGTTGGATTGTGTATCAGATTTCAGACCATTGGGAGCCTGAAGTGGAAAACACTTATTAAAAGTGTTGATAATGGAAATGTTTCTGTCATGATTAATCTAAATTTTGACATTCAGAACTTAATTGACTTGAGATCATTTGGGCTTTTTTCTAAAATTAGGCCATAGAAAAAACCTCACAAAAAGTAGCACCTCAGTGGTTTTTAATGTGTTTTCAAAAAAACCCTAAATGTTAAAGGCTGTATGTTTTATTCTAAGCACAGTCAACTACAAACCAGAAAAATTACACAGATAGTAAGAGAAGGCAAAAAATAAAATAAAAAAATAAGAATTCCACCAGTTATGTCTTTTTCCATTTATCCACTGGAAGATCAGACAGCATATCAGAGCTGTTAGTGGGTGCCTTGGATATTTTTAATCAGTTTCATTTGTTTCTGTGTAATTCAGAAGCATGCACTGATGTATTGCTGTATATATTTCTAGATTATTTGCACTGGTAAAAAGGTCTCATTGCTTGGGATGTCCTGGGGACTAAAGGGGCATCACAGATGACAGATGTTTACATCATATAGTGTTTTAGGAAAAGACTGAGTCCTTGAATTTGAAGGGAGTTAGACTGGGTAGGTAATAATTGAAGATATTGCATCATTTATTTATCAGGTTTAATACATTTATTAGAATCCCATCAACTTTCTCTAAT